GGCCGCGGAGGACGGCTGCTCCGGGGAAACAGGCCTCCGTCTTCCGGCCACATCCCGCGTGTTCTCACACCAGGGCCCTGAGAAGAGCCCCGAGTGCCTTTCTGGTTCCCCAGCTTCTTTTTCTCCACGTGGCGGGTTGAGCATTCCCAGTAGCTCATCCCAACCCTGGAGCCCTGCAGACGGTAGCTCCAGGGGGACGGGGTCCGCACGTCTGGTGTCCCCTCGGGAGGGGTCCGCTTATCCCCTTGTGCCGCATGCTGTGGGCCACTAAGGCTTGCGGCCCAGCCCCAGGGGCACGGGGAGGGGCGCGCTCTCTGCTTTGCCCTGACTTGTCATTGTGACCGGCTCACTCCCCGGTCAGTCCAGGCACAGGGCGAGGGTAGAGCTGTGGACGCAGCCCACAGAGGGGCGTAGGGGCTGGAGAGGCGAAGGGGGCCGGGTGTGCGGTGGCCACCACGCCCAGGACGCGCACGGCGGCCGGCGGGTGGGGCGTGTGTGCCACTCGCTTCCTGCTGGCTTTGGTTTCAGGGCTTTTTCTGTGGGACCGAGGACGACTTTAACGACTGGTGCCAGCAAGTGAAAAAGGTTGGTGGGGCCCCGCCCCCGCGCGGGTCTGAGGGTCCTTCCTCCCCTGCTCCGCGGTGCTCGGCTGCACCGCGTCTCGCGCGCCTTGCCTGGTCCTTGGACGCCAGGTGCGTCCTTGCTGTGATCAAAGCGCGGGGCCAGACTCTGCTGGAGGCTCACTGGGATTTCCAGTCCCGAGTCTGGGTGGTGAGGGGTGGCGGGCTTCCTGCCTGCGCACGGCGCCTCCCTCCGCCCACGGGGCCCCTGATGCGCTGTGTCCTGCTGACAGCTGTCCCTCCTTGGAGGCGCGCTGCCAATGTTTGAGCTGGTGGAGCGGCAGCCTTCCCACTTGGCCTGTCCTGACGTCCTGAACTTGTCCTTAGGTGAGTCCGGATGCCCCAGGGCCCCGTCTCAGGTGGGGACGGGGGCGTCCCCTGTCTTGAGGCTGGGGGTGCTGCCTGCGTGATGCTTCTGCCCTGCCCTCCACCTCCCCAGGTCCCGTCCCAGTTGCCTTTGACCTTTCACGCTGTGCGGCCCCTCAGCAGCCCCTCGTGAGTGGGGCCAGGGACGCTGCTGGTGCTGCCCTCCCTCCTCCCACCCGCTTGGGCCAGCACACCCGCAGCCCGCCCGGGCCCTTCCGCGCTCCTCCCGTGGCCCCTGGTCCTGACAGCCGGACCAGGCCAGGCTTCCTGTGCTGATGTGGCATAGGTGGCTCCGTCCCCACTGCCCGGTGGCTCTGGGCTTGGGGGCGCCTCCCCCAGAGTGCATCAAGTACGTGGCACGTGGGGAAAGGGGACCCACCGGGGGGCCCTGAGCACATAGGGACTGCCCTGGGGAGGACTACAGACCACGCCTCACGGGAACCGCGGGGGTCGGGGTGCCAGCGCCAGACTCAGGACAGATGCCCCACCACACCCGGCTGGTGCAGGGGGCGGGCACCCCTCCTGGGATGGGACCCTTGCCCTCCTGGCCCCCGTTGCTTCCCTCTGGGCTCTGGTGAGGGGCGTGTCTGCCCCCAGCTGCACATGCCCTCACCCGCCCAGGCCCTTGTCCCTGTGCTCACAGGGCAAGAACCCCTCTCCCACCTGCTCGGACCCCCCGCCCGGGAGGAGGGCGCCTCAGCCGGGTGGTCCGGGCACCCTCCGGCCTCCCTCCGCGCCCTGGCCGGTCCGGCGCTGGGCAGGACCGCCCCTTCATGGGGCGGGTGTGCTCACACGGGCCCTTGCTCCTCGGCCCGCACCCCAGGCTGAGCCACGCCTGGCACCTGCTGAGGTTTTGTCGTGTTCCTTCTAGATGCTTCTGACGTAGAGCGACTGGAAAGATTCTTTGACTCAGAAGATGAAGACTTTGAAATCTTGTCCCTTTGAGGATCCTGCAGTTGGGGGACGGTCTCACTGGCCCTGCAGGGGCGCTCGGCCGCCGCATCTCATCCCGCCCGCCGCCGCCCGCCCGCCTGCCGCCCACAAAGAGGCCCGCGCCGCTGGAGACCCAAGCGCCAGACACGCACGAGGGGCTCTCCCGCCACACTGCCAGCCCTGCCCAGCCCCGCTTCCTCCTGGGCTCCAGGCCCGGGTTCGCTTTGGAATTAAAGTCCTGTTTGAAGTTTCGTGACGGACATGGCTTCTGTTGGGCGTGTCCTGAGCCAGGCTCCGAAGACGTGGCCTCCAGGGCCATCGCGGCGGGAGAAGGGGCCGAGGAACCACGGCCTGGGCCTCCTCGCATTGGGAGGAGAGGAGCAAGGGGTGGGGGCGGTGAGGCCCAAAGACATCGCCGTGCAGGTGGCACCGGGACAGACGCGCCGCCAGAGCCGCAGGTGAGGCCGTGGGGCCCCCGAGCTGCTGCTTGCCTGTCGCTCCAGCATCCCCGGGGCCTTCTTCCGCCTCCCGGTCAGCGAGGCTTCAGATGGTTTGGGGCCGGAGGGTCAAACCTCAGCTTTGTGCCTCTGCCCCTCGCGCCCGCTGGAGACCTTCTGGACGGACGCCAGCACCCGCCTCCTTCATTCAACCTGTGTTCTGGGCCCCGGGCACCGCCGCACGCAGTGGCTTTTGTCCCACCAGGGAGCGCAGGCGGGGGTTTGGGAGCCCAGGAGGTGGCAGCCTTCTCCCCGGGGGCCTTCCTTGCGGAGCCCTCGCCGGCCCAGCGAGCGAGCAGAGGGCATCCCGGCCCCCCAAGTGTTGCTGACGTGAGTGCTTCCCTCCATCTCCCATTCTCTCTCCCCTTCATCCCCCCGTCATCCATCAGGTGGAGTTGGGTGGGAAGGTTTCCATTCCTTCTGCTGCGCCGCTGCTGGCAGGGCCGGGGGTCTCGCTGCAGCTCCTGCTGGCGGCACGGACGGCGGAGGTGGGGGCCACCCTGAGCAGCGGGGGCTGTGTCTCGCGTGTGTCGGGAAAGGATTACTGAGGAGCGCTCACTCTTAGCCGTACAGTGCGCGATTCTTAATGGCAAATAATAACAGTTTCAATAGAAAACAAGGTTCGTCTGTGTCTTGATTTTCTCGGAGATATTTTCGGAGCTGTAGTTGGACATGGTAAGAATGAGAACAAGTGTTTTCTAAGCTCACGAGGGTTCTGAGGAAGGACTTGGTGGATGGACGCGCTGAGCTCGTTTGTTGCCAGGCCTCCTATTTGGACCTGGTTCCGCGACACTGATTCTCGACTCTCTCTGACTCGTGTGGTTTGCGTTGAAAGCAAAAAATGCAGGGGAGGGGCTTCCCTGGTGGCGCAGTGGTTGAGAGTCCGCCTGCCGATGCAGGGGACGCGGGTTCCTGCCCCGGTCCGGGAGGATCCCACATGCCACGGAGCGGCTGGGCCCGTGAGCCATGGCTGCTGAGCCTGTGCGTCCGGAGCCTGTGCTCCGCAACGGGAGAGGCCACAGCAGTGAGAGGCCCGCGGACCGCAAAAAAAAAAAAAAAAATGCAGGGGAGCCTGATTTTGGGAAGACGCCCTTCTTCTTTCATAGACGGGGAGGGAGCAACTGCGGTGCCGGGTGGCGTGTTGGCTCCCTGGGCAGCGTCCCTGTAGGCGCCCCGTGCCTCAGCCGGTCACCCCCGAGCGGGTCACCAAGGATGTGAACAAGGGCCTCTTGCCCTGCCCGGGAAGTCCTGGTGGGACAGTCGGAGCGACCCCGGCCCACTCGGCTCACCGCTTCCGCCTGCCCACCCACCCTCCAGTTTGGGTGCAAGGGGACCAAGGCCAGAGGAGAGCAGGAAGCGCCATGGCTCAGAACCTGAGTCCTGGCCTCCAGAAATGGCCGCGTTGGCTTCTTGAGCTGTGACGCCCTCCACACGCAGGGGCCCGAGACAACACTTACCTCTCAGGGCCCTGGCAGGCAGAGGTCAACGGGGCTGTCCCCCTGGGGTCCCAGGGAACTGGCTACCTGTCCTTTCCGGCTCCTAGGAGCCCCCACGTCCCCTGGATCAACTCCCGCCCCCCTCGCAGAGCTGGCATCGTCCCCTCTCACCAGGCCCCTCCCGCCTCCCGGGCTATCCAGGGTGGCCTCCCACCTCCTGGTTCCTTTGGCCAGGTGGGCGCCCTACTCACAGGTTCCGGGGGTCAGGACGAGGATGTCTCTGGGGGCCGTCATTCTGCCGGCCACGGGGCCCAACAGGCTTCTTTAGGGGAGGCCAGAGGGTCAGGGCGCCTCAGGACACGCAGCCCCGTCGGCGGTGCCGGCTGCCGCGGCCCTGGCAAGATGTTTTAAAACCCGTGCTGGGCTTACTGAAGAAAGTTTCAGCGGCCCGTTAATTTTGTGGTCTCCGGGGCCATTTCTGTCTTCACACCATCCAGCTGCCCGTGGGCCCCACTCAGCTCTGGCCTCTCCTCCCCTGGGCTCCGGCCTGCCCACCCACCCCCGCCTGCACGGCCGAGCCCTGAGAGAGTCTGCGCTGGGGCCTTCGTGGCCCCGCTCCTGGCCTGGGACAGAGAGCTCTCGTCTGGTGCCCAGCTCCCGCTCAGGGGCCCGCCCAAGCGTGCTCTGGGCATCCCACCCAGGCCCACAGCCGACGCAGCCTCCCTGACAGCCCGGTACTCTCAAGACCCCCGCCCCACGTTTCGTTTTCTTCACCTAGGACGTGGCCTTGGTCATGTGAAAGATCAAAAGGCAGGTAGATGGGAGGGTTGCCAGGCCACGCCCGCGGGTGACCCTTGGGACTGCAGAACAAGTGGTCTGACCCTGCGAGCGGTTCCCAACTGTTTCTGTCACTGGGTCACGGGCCTCGAGTTCTGACCTCGAGTGCATGCTGCATGTCGGGGTGGACACAGCCAGGCCCTTCAGATGGACGGGCGCCCGAGGCCAGCCTGGTGTCATCAGCAGGCAGGACCCGCTGTGAACTGACAGCACAGCCATCCGAGTGCACAGCTCCAGCCACCCCCAGCGCTTGTGTCCTGTCCTCCCTTGAGGGCTGGGCTGCCCCCACCTGCCAAGCACCTGTGGATGGACAGCCACATCTATTCAACCTGGATGAGAAGGGACCCTGCCCGGTGCGGGGAGCGGGCGCCACTGCTGAGCTGGAACCCGCTTGGCCACATGCGGGTTTTCCCAAGCCCTAGTCAGACTGTCTTGTGACACTTTAAACTGTCACATCCTCTTCTGCTCGGAATCCGGTCTCCTGGCACGCACAGAAGGGCGCTGAGACCTGTGGTGCTTTGCAGACAGGGGCTCTGCCCACCGCCCACTGCAGGGCCACTGCATCCTGGAGTAACTTCACAGGATGGAGGGACTACACACCTGCATTTCAGACCTTAACAGAGGGAACAGCAGAGCGAGCACTGGGCGTGCTCAGATAGCGACGCTGCCACTCGGACACAGACTGGTCAGGCCGGCGCTCAGAGCCCAGGCACGGCTGATGCCTGCTGGGCCCGGGGCTGCCCACAACTGTTTTCATTTCATCTTTACTGGTGTCTGAAGACGTCCACGAGGAGGTCAGCGACCCTGATGGAACTGCCTGGACACAGTCATTGTGAAACTCCAGTAAGCGAAACACAATAACTAATTTATTAGTATCTTCGGGGCACAGGTGAGGGCAGGAGAGGCTTCCCCGCAGGCCACTCCCTGGGGGGTCCCGCTTCGCCCCCCGCACACTGTGCACACGCGGCTCCTGCCTTGCGGCAGACGGGGGTCCCGTCCCTCTAGGTCCACAGCTGCCCCAGCGGCCTGTGTGCAGCGGCCCGGATAGCACCCTCAGACAGCACGCGGATTTCCCGGTGGACGTCCTCGATGCTCCTGGAGGCGTCGACTGTCTGGGCAGGGGCAGGGGGGAGAGATAGGTTAATGTTCTCAGCGGGTGGGGCGGCTTCCGGAGGGCACGGCTTCCGCTCCTCTGGGGTCCTTGACCCCCGGCCTCGCCTAGGGACAGTGAGCTGGACAGGCCCTTGGGACCGAGCCGCCTGGCCCCCCGGCTGCAGCCCCGGTCAGATGCTCACCTCCAGGGGACCCCGGTGCCGCCAGCAGAGGCGGCGAGGGCAGCGCCCACTCCCGCCCCTCCACGGCTGCGCCCGGACCTGCCTGTACCGCAGGTTCTGCCGGCAGCCCAACTTGGGTCCGACTCCTCTCCCTGGTACGATGGGCTTCGTCCCGATAGCTGGCTGCCCCACCTTGCTGACACAAGGACCTTCGGTCACCGGGGGGCCAGCCCACGAGAGGAGCGACCCTCCACCGGAGGGAGGGACACATGCCGGGCCACATGAGGGAAGGCGTGCCTGGGAGGCCCCTCCTCAGGCAAGGCTCAGCTCTGGGCACTAAGAGCCTCTAGGCAGCCTCTGGCGCAGCAAACTCTGGAAAAGCTCCAGGGTGTAGACACGCTCAGACAGCTGTAACCACGGCACAAAGTCTATGAGGAGCGACACCGCCTCCCCACGGGCCCCCCAGCCCCGCCTGAAGGTCACCTTGCCAGCCACGGCCCAGCTGCAGAGCTCTGGCACAGAACCATCCCAGGCAGCTGGCGGTGCGTGGCACCTCCCGTGTGGACACGTACGTGGACACCCCTCGTCCTCTGGGGGCCCAGATAACCGCCTCTATCTCTTCCTTCATAAAATGGAACCAGGGACACCTCAGGACACTGGGCCGGGACAGCACAGGGTGAGCCCAGAGGTCAATCGTAATGGGCCGGGACCGGGAAGGGCCGGAAGTGAGGGGAACTGATCAGAAGGACCCGGGGCTGGGGTGGGGGTCACCCAGGGGCCAGACCTGGGCCAACCTGTGCCTCCAATTGTGAGGAAAACAGGTTGCTGGTGAGTACGCGGTACAAACGTGAATCCGTGCAAGTGTAAACATATAAACGAACTGGAAGTCTATGAGCAGCGTCAAAGCACCACCTCAAAGCGGGACGCGGAGTGACTTCACCGTGAACTGCTTAACCCAGAGCTCAAGGGGAGCATCGCTGGAGCGCGACACACCAAGGGTGCGCAGCCCGTGACGGGGCAGCGACAGCCCACCAAGGACACACAACCTGATCCAATCACAAAGTCAATCTGAGGTTCGGCTACAAAGCGACTGTTGCGACCTTCAAAAAAGTCAAGGTTGAGAAAGTCACAGGCTGGAGGCCAGAGAGGTGTGCCTGTGAACCACGTCCTGTTACAAGGGTCACTAGCGGGACCGGGGGGTCAGGCAGTAGGAGCGGATCCATGTGACTGGCCCCATTTTGACAGGGAGGGGGTGTCAGGTACTAATTTATTCTCAAATGGTCCTAGAAGAGTTCCTTGTATTGTACTTACAACTTTCCTGTAAGTTTGTGACTGCTTTAAAAATTTGAAAAATACTAAGAAAAATAAATTTTCAGATAAACAAAAGTTGAGAATGCTATGCCAGGAGACCTGCCCTACAGGAACATTAAAGGAAGTTCTTAAAGCTGCGGGAAACGAGACAAGACGAACAGTCAGTGCAGGAAGGAGAGGAGAGCGCCGCTGGCCTTCCCCTTTCACGTTCCTGATGCTGTGAAGTCTTGTCGTGTTCCCAGCAGGTGCTGAAATGTAGTATAAATCAAGAGGAACTTACACCATGTAGAACTAGTTAAAAAAACCAGAGAGGGACTTCCCTGGCGGTCCAGTGCTCTCAATGCACGGGGCAGGGGTTCGATCCCTGGTCAGGGAACTAATCCCACACACAGGCCGCGTGGCACAGCCAAAAAAAAAAGAACCAGAGGAAAACTCTGGAATTCAGTAGCTGATAGAACCAGCCAGCAGAGAGATGACAGGGATCTGAGGCACCGCACTGCAGCCTCCATCTGGGGAAAGACACGCCCTTCCTTCCACCCCCGAGCACACAGGAGACAAACAGAAAGGTCAAGGGTGTACTCCGGACCTGCACACAGAGGAGCCCCGGCCCTGGCCACAAACCAGCACCAGCCAGAGCAGGACAGCGGGGAGGCACAGCTGGAGGGCGAGGGAGAAGCACGAGGTGCCAGAACTGAGAACCCAAACCCTGGGACCTGCCTGAGTGGCGAGGACACTGCCAGCAGTAAGAGGAGCAGCGGCCGTGCCAGGTGGGCACGTGCAGGGAAGATGGACCGGGGCTCCGGGTCACGTGCCCTGAGGTGGGCGGGCGCCAGGCCGCAGGGACGGAGAGCAGGGAGGTGGCAGCTGTGGCGGGTGCGGGCCGCCTGGCGCCTGGAGTCAACGAAGGCCCCACGCTCGACCCGGTTGCATGGGAGCTAAAGTGCCGCTGCCTGACACCCACGGACTCGGCGTTCTGGGTGCTGGCCTCGCACAGCTGACGTCCAGCAGGGGATGGGAGCCCGCTGGACGGCCGGCTCGGCACAGGGTCCCCCGTGCAGGATGCCTGCTCTGGAGCCGCTGCCCGTGCGGCCCTGCCCTGGGCCAGCATCAGGGCACCGACCCACGTCCTGCACCAACCCCAGGACCAGAAAGTGCTGCCCCCAGGAGGGCCCGGGCACCACGCCCACCTTCCAGGGCAGACTGGAGTCTCCCAGGAGCTGCTGGAAGCACTGCAGGGCCCGCTGCTGGAAAGGGCTGCTCTCGTAGCGTTCACGGCCGAACTCGCCCCTCGCGGCGGCCTCTGCCAGCTGCAGCTGCAGGAACACAACCAGGTCCGGTTTGGGGAGGCCCACGTCTGGCTGCTTGCACCAGTCCAGGGAGAAATTCTGGAGACGAAGAACCCAACCGTTACGGATCCAGCTTAATGCGGTCTCATTCCTGGTTTCAAAATTCATCGAAAAGGGGGAAAGGCGAGCTGACGTTTGAGGGGAGAGTTCTTACACAGCAGCAGCTCTGTCCTTTAGGTCTCCAGCGTTTTGCTTTCACTCACATCACCTTCCTGTGTTTTGACATGTGAATACGTTCACAGTGGACAGAACACCCCGGGGCCCAGGACGCGTCACTCAGGGCCTGGGACCGAGGGCATCATGCGTGCGTCCCACACCCTCTGGCCAAGCAGTGGCAGCAGACGAGCCAGGGCATCACTCCCTTCTACAGAGAGGGGAAGACCCCAATCCTGGAGATGCTCACCAGCGCCCCGTGTGCTGTCTCCTGCATGTCCCCTCTCATTCATCCTCGCAACTCTAAAAATAGTGTCCCCACTTCTAGAGGAAGAGAGAGCCACACAGCTCTGAAGATTTAAAAGGGTTAGAACCGAGCTGTGGGCTCAGAGCCTTGTGCTGCCGGGACACCCTGACTGGAGAAGGGAGCCCGTCAGCCCTGCCCGAGCCTGCGTGCTTTTCACAGATGGAGCCGTGTGGCCGGTACCTCGGGGGACTGCCCTAAAGGAGGACCCAGCTAGCTCGTGCGGGAAGACTGGCAGGGTTAGAAGGCTGTCATTTTGCAGCCCTTCGTGAATTAGCCACGATCAAAGACGGTTACCACAAAAAGGAGATAACCAGGCACGCCGTGCCTCTTGATAGGCGACTCGGGAAAATAAAAAATTCAAAAATTTTAGCAGAAGGAAGAAAAGAGATGCAGGAACCTATGTATCGAGAGATTCAAGAGACATTTCAAGAATGGACCTTAACTGGCGGGATTCCGATTCAATCGAACTGTAAAAACACAAGACGGATCAAACGGCTCCTGAGAGCACTGGGAACTCTGCACACTGCCTGAATGATGACACTCTGGAATGGGTGAGACGAGGTTTCTGAAAAGCTGCTTTGGGGATGTGCACCGAAATGTTTATGAAGGGACTGATGATGTGTCTGGGGGTCACAGAGACCAGAAGCTTCTGAGGCAGGTGACGGTGCTGGGTGGCTTATTTTCTCTGCTGGTATATGTTTGAAAATTTTTAAATAAAAAGCAGGAAAAAAGGGCAGTGTAGTCACTGCCATTATGCCTGTGAAACAGCAGCTCCCTGGAACAGGGGGTCAGGAACACAGCACGAAAGCACCCCAGACACTCTCACCATCTTTTCCGCAAACAAGACGCTGGATGAAACAGGCCTGCCGATGGACCATATGTGTAAATGTATGATGTGAAATGTGTCGGCCAAATGAAAAATGCAGTTGTATCTATGAAAACCTGTAGCTACAAAAAAGGTTTCTCTTCTCGTCGACAAAGACCAAATTGACCTGGCAAACACGGGGATCTCAAACCGCTAGAGGCAGTGACATGAAGAGACTCGCGCTGCGACTGCTCTGTGCCCATGGGGACCACACTGAGTCCACAGCAGGCACAAACCACGCGCTGGGGCCGGAGCGGCACTCACCTCCTTGGCGCTGGTGAAGGCGACCCCAGAAAAGGCGTACCTGTCCACGACCAGGGTGATGCCCTGGCTCAGCTTCTCCTTAATTAGCGGCCTACAAAAAAGAGGATCCTGTGAGCCATGGTCCTGGCTTCATAGGCCCTGAGTCTCATGCTCAAATCACCCTGAGGACACAATTCAATTCAGAAGCCAACATGAAGGGATCACGCGCGGGCAGCAATCTGTAGCCTGACTTTCATCCCCCAAGGCTCTGAATCTTCACTCCCAGCAAAGCCCAGCACGAAAAGACAACTCCACTAAAGGGGATAAATACAACTGGCATCGGCAGCTGTCCAGAGGCAGCTCGGCTGTCCGGGAGTGGAAGGGCCAGGCCCTGCGGGGAGAGGAGGGGCCAGGCCAACAGGAGGGAAGGCCGGACGTGGCCCGGAGGTGATGAAGGATGCTCCTGCATCCGCCTGGGAGCCAGGACACCCTCCAGCAGGAGGCAGCAGGTCCCCACCACCCTCCGGCCCCAAGACCTTAGCAGGATGGGTGCAGAGGCTTGGCATGGGCCAGAAGCACTGCTTGCACTTTGGGGAACAAGAGTTACGGTGAGAAGCTCGCAGAACAGCACAGCGGGGGGCACCTCCAACAGTGAGACGCCATTCCCATCACAGCGTCATTCCTAAGTGCAAATTATCAACACTTAAAACTACCTAATCTTGTGAACAGAACACTGGTAGAATACGGCATGAGCACAGAAGATGCAACTGTACAGAGAGCGAGAAAGATGCCCCATAAACACCCTCCTGACACGTTGCTAACAAAGCAAAGCACGTTGGGCACACAGGCGGCTGCCTTTGTATCAGACAGAAGGTGAGTCAAGACAACAGGCATCTGCTGATTTCGTTTAGAAGTGAATGGGCCTGCTTACCGACAGCGGAAGGCAGGGCTTGGATGGAAAGGGGGTGGGCAGGGCAGTGACCTTTCTGTATGATTCTGACTCTTAGAACCATTTCATGTTTTACATATTTGAAAACTGAAATCAACAAGAATGGGAAAAAAAAAAGAAAAACCTAAAATTGTATACAAAGTCAAATGAACCTACCCGTATCCCAAATGAACACAGTGGAAGGGCAAAGGCGTGCCTGAGATGTTTGGACACAGCACCGTGTGCCCCCATTCTAACAACAGAGCTGCAACCACCCGTGAGCCCCAGGCAGGCTTTACGTAGGTGAGGGCAGTGATCCTAAGACCAGCCCGTGGAGGGCAGGATGGGGCAGATGAGCCCGGGTGCTGGATGAGATGGCAGGGGTCAGACAGATGCAGGGGACGTGAACACATGCAGAAGCTGAGCAGATGTCGGTCTCTGAAGTCCACCCTCCACAAAGAGCAGAGAACAGCTGGCCCCGGCTAAAGCAGGAGGCACGGAAAGCCGCAATACCTTGTCAGGCCAGAAACACGTCCAAGGAACGAAGGAGCCAGCCTGAAGGGGTTCCCACAGGCCGAGGCTGGGACAATCTGAACAGCGAAACGACTAACAGTAGCGCTTATGACCCACTGATGATGGACGGACGGATGGACGGACACGGAAGGCAGGAAAGCTCTTCCTTACACAGAATGCCAGCTGATCAGTGTTGCGGAAATGACAGAATCAGAAAATCACAATAACAGACTCCAGCAGGATGACTAACCAACACAAACTAGGAGGTTTCATAGAAAGGGGATATTTTTGGTTTTATGAGTTCCCCTTTTGACTATTTACAACAGGAAAGAGAGTCACTTAGTGGAAGAGCCTGGCCAGCAGCCCCCTCACTAATCAGGGGAAACCCAAGTGGCCTCGCATCCCGCCACGATGCCCTCAAGAGGACCCAATGTCACTTCTGGGGTCTTCCTATCAAAAATGCAAACCCCAATCTACTCATGAGGAAACGTCAGGTAAACCCAGCATTTCATAAAATAGCCCTTGATTTTTAAAAAGAGTGAGCAAATGGTAAAGCAAATGTGGCAAAATGTTACTAACCGGGGAAGCCTGGGGAAGGGCACCCGGGGGTTCTTGGCGCAGACTTCCTGACTGATTGCAACTATTCCAGAATAAAAAGTTTAAAAACAGGTAGAGAAGAACATCGCTAAATTGCTACGGAAAGTAAGAGAGATTGCTCATTTCCAGAAATTTAATTCCTGGATGGCCCTAGAGGATCAGTAGGTTTTGACAAACAGCCGGGGAGGGAAGTGGAGGCTGTTACCGCAATCGGTGCCAGGGAAACCGCGCAGCAGCTGGGAGGGGAGATGACTTCCACGACCAGCAACTGACCCGGTAAAGACGCAGCACAGCAAAAGGGCAGAAAACCAGGGGCTGAGGAGGTAACCAGAGTCCTCTCAGAAAGTGCTCCAAGCACCAGGGTGAACTCAAAACAGCCTAGGTTAACTGAGCACCCATTCCCAGGCCCGCCCTGCACACGAGACCTGAGGGGTACTAGGGGCCACAGCGCTGCCCGGCATCCAACCTGTCAGCCAAGGACTTCCAAGTGTCAGCAAACCTAATCTGATGGCAGTGGCTGGAATAATCAGAAGGGGGAGCTGTGGCAGAACGAATGGCCCAGAGACTTGCAGGCCTGTGTCCTGGAAGCAGACAGCAATTAGGGAATGGAGTCAGAACTGTTTCTCATTTTCAGTTGCTCTGACATTACTTTTCTAGAAATCCACAAAAAGCGAAAATCACATTTATGTCAATAAACTCCAGATGTGTTAAAGACTGTAAACCTGCCCTCATTCTCATCTAATACACGGAGGGGGAGGCCTTTCCAGACAAGACCACCGGCTAAGCCAAAGCCAGAGGAGAGCAGTGCCAGCTTGCCTGTGAGAGGGAACAAGGCACAACCACCTGAACGTCCGTCCACTGGCATCCCTCAGTCCAAGGTGGGGCAGCCTTTCCGGAGAGCAGGCCGCTGGGACGGGAGAGAAGAGGAAGAGTGCAGATCGGGAGGCGGCCTCAGGAAGCCAGCCGTGAGGTAATCTGTACGGTAGGGTCCCATTCATTCACGTTAAAACAAAACACCTCCGATGACATGTGTGTTACCTACATACGTGTGTAAATGGAAACAGAAGCACCTGAGAGCGGACCCCACAGGCACTTCGTCAACAGTTGTGCAGGGTGAAGAGGGAATCCACCAAGATGATGTAAGTCAAAAAGAGGGCGCGAGAGGGCACACCCCAACATAAACTCAACTTCACTTAATGATGTGTCAACACTGGTTCATCAAAGACATAAATAAGAGCATCTCTGGGCGGGGAGGAAGGGACAGGGGCATTGGGGGGGGCTCTTTTCTGTGTACCTAAAACTACCTAAAGTCTATTAATTACAAAAAGCTGGGAGCAGGGGGTGGGGAGAAGAAAAAAAGCATTAACTAGTGCTCTTTGGGATCCGTGACCTAAAGAACCTTGTAAAGGTACAGCCTCCAGCATGACTCTCAACCACTCAGAAACAAGAGCCGCATTCAGCCTTGGGGGCAGGCACAGAAGCAGGGGGAGCGGCAGAAGGACAGGGGTGTTTACACGTGTTCCCAGCGGTTCGCAGAGAACAGCAGGTGCACCGAGTGATCTTCCACCTCGCTTTTCTTTTCCAAGTAGGAACTCAGAAGCTTGCCAATCTCAGTTGATCTTTCTAAAATAAAAGAGAACAATACACAAAAGTGAGGACAGGCTCTCCATCTACATTCGTAGTTTGTGCCAAATTTCTAGGCCCTGACCCAAGTCTAACTTTGAGTTTTATTTTACAACAACTTTAGACAGGTTCAGACCTTTTCCTGAGAAAGGGCAGCAGTGTGCAGACACACTGGGATGAAAAATGCTTTAGGAAGAAGGAACTCAGGTAGGAGGCAGCAACTGCAAAGGAACTGCCAACCAAGGGGAACTGGTACCAGGAGCTACCTCGATACCAAGAGAAGGATATTCAACTCCCAAAGTCGGCCCTCCACATCTGAGGTTCTGCATTTTTGCATTCCACCAACACAAGACTTCATAGTACTGTATGTTTATTGAAAAAAATATGCATATAAGTGGACCACTGCAGTTCAAACCCATGTTGTTCAAGGATCAACTGTATAAGATTTGTAGACTGGTTGGCTTAAAGATGAAAATGATAAATATTCAAAAAAAGCACTTTCGGACTTCCCCGGTGGTTGAGACTCGCAGGGGGCACGGGTTCATTCCCTGGTCAGTGAAGTTCCACATGCCACACAGTGTGGCCAAAAGAAAAAAAAACAAGAAAATTTTAAAAAGCATCCCCCCCCATCTCCCTACCCCTGGTTTTCAAGATCAATGTTTTGCCTTAAAAAATTAAAAATATGACACAAAACCCTTCACAGGGTAAACAGCCATGCAAGGACGGGGGGCGGGAAACCCAAGATAAAACGGAGACCGGGATTACAAAGCAGCACCTGGAAACTTTTAGGGGTCACAGATATACTCATTCTCTTGGTCGTGAAGACGCTTTCCTGGGTGTACATGTGCCAAGACTCACTAAACACGTGACTTTACTGCACATCAGCCGCGGGGCAGCTGCGCAAAAACAGAACCACAGACCACTGAGGCTCGGGGACCACAAGGGTGGTCCCCGCGCTCCGACCCGCGGACAAACGAGAGCGAATTCAGCGCAGGAGGCCTTCGCTTCTCTTCCTCAGGAGCCGGCGAGGCCTCCGTGGCCCCTGGGTCCCCTCCCCGGCCCCCGGCATCCCGGAACCCCGCGCCCGCCGCGCCCACCCGGGAAGCGCAGCAGCTCGGCGCAGTGGCCCGCGGCGCAAAGCGCGTCCACCAGCTTGCGGCTCTGCGTGCTCTTCCCCGCACGGTCCACACCCTCCAGCACGATGAGAGCGCCGCGCCTGCCCGCCATCGCCGCGTTTCCCGCCGCCGCCACCACCCCCAGCGCAGCCGGGCCGCCCGGACCTCCCATTGGCTGCAATGGGCCGGCGCCCGCGGCGCGCGCCGGGATTGGCTCAGATGAGCCGGATTGGCTGGGACTAGTCCGGCGGAAGCGGCGCGACTGGCCCGACGGGGCCTCGGTCGCACCGCCTCTTCCGGGCCGGAAGCCGGGCGCGCCTCGTTCTGCGCGCGGGCCGCTGTCGTGGGCGCGGGCGGTCGTCCCTCCTCCTAAAGTTCGGGGCTGCGGCCTCGGGGCCCGCCCGCCGCCGACTCCCCGACGGCGGGGACCTTGAGGGCGCGCGCCCCGGCACCGGGAAGCGCTCAGTGAGGTTGGCCGCTGTCGTCTTAGGGGCGGTTCCAGGTGAGACCGCGTCGGCCGCCTTCTCGTCGAGGGGTCCCGCCCTCGGGCCTCGTGGCCCCGGAGGCCTGTCCCCAGGTACCGTCACGGTGGGGTCAGACCTCAACCTAGGGGGTTGGGGCGGACACCAGCGTTCGGCCCGTGCCAAGCTGAGAGCCGCGTTTCCCAGAACTGCCTCTGGAACGTTCGAGTTTGCCGAGGAGAAATCCGGAGGCAGCCGGAAGTGTGGCCGTGAACTTCAGGACTGCTCTCCAGGGAGCCTTCGTGAAGCACCTGCTCCCCTGCTGCAGACGAGAGACGGGCGAGGGCTCTCCAGGGCTGGGGACGGCAGCGGACCCCCGCGAGCTCTAGACCGTCCACCTCGGTGCTTGGGCTGAGGTCGTGGCAACAGTTTGCCTGACTTTCCTACCCCACCTCATTTGGTTCAAGCCCCTGATTTCCCGTGACCCCAGACACCTATGGTCGCTTGACGTTTTCCTGATGGACCGTTGCTTGATTTGGTTGTGGGTTCCGGAAAGGTGGTAGATTCTATCATTCCCAATTGTTGGCTTTCTTCCTTGATGTTGGGTTTGGCCCTGTGACTTCCAGGGCATCTGTAAAGTAACCAGAGCTGACTTTCAGGAAGAAACTTTAAAAGCTGTTGTGCGGGTCACCCCTCCCCTTCCTGCCGCCAGTGTGAGAACAGCATGTGCACGATTAGGGCTGCTTTTTCACCCTGGACCCTGGAATGAACAAACAGCCACAGCCAAGCCACAGCCATTGCAGCTGATAGGTGGCACCAGCAAGAAACACAGTTGTGATGCCGAGTCCACCGAGACTTTGGGGCCCTTTGTTACTGCGGTACAACCTAGTGAAAGGTCGTTGATACAAACACTAGTACTTAACACTGCCTTTGAATTATGAGTCTTGTTCTGAAATTTTCATCTCCTTGCCCTCAAAAGGATGAGGGGATTAGGGATTACAGTACACAAGAGAACCCTCCTGGGGTTGGGCAAGTCCCAGGACAGCCTTGTACCACATCTGTAGGATGAACTTACCAGGCAGACAGGCAGGAACACGTGCAATACATCAGCTTGTGACCGCACAGCCTTCCTGGTGACCCATGGAAATGTGGGGAGCCTGGCTGCTGGGTCCTTGTATGCAGGGGATGCCCTTTTGAAGGCAGAAGTTGCTAAACTGGCACAAGTACAGTGAAATTTCTTATTAAGATAAGGAAGCAATTTTGCTTCCACCTCTTCCAACATGCCTTTGACTGCAGGTACCAGAATGCCAGCCTAACTGGCTTAAATCACCAGGATGTCTAATCATCTCACATAACACAAAGTCCAGAGTTAGGCAGCCAAGAACTGTTTCTGCTACTCAGTGATGTCAGATGTTGGGTCAACAACTTACCAGTTCTCATAGCTTGTCCCTCGTGGTCACAGGGTGACTGCAGCACCTCCATGCATGCAGTCGTGACCTCACATCCCTGACGCAGGTACAGGAGAGTCCTTGCGTCCGTCTCTGTGCTTGCTACACTGAGAACCATCTCCGCAGTCTGCCCTGAGCAGTGCGAGTCTCCCCTGCCACGGAGGCCTGGTAGCGGGCACAAGGGCATCTACTTCACGGAGGAAATGCCAGATAGGGCGCTGGGCCTGAGTGTACTTGGGGTGAGGGAAGGGCCAGAAGCTGGCCGGAATTGCTGAAGCTGGCTGATGGGATGTGGAGTTTGTTAGGTCCTCTCGGCTTTTGTGAGTTTGAGACTTTGCATTAAAAAAGAGGCCCCATAGCTCTTACTGTCCTATTGCACCTTCCATCACAGGAATTGGTCAGACTTTGCTACTATCCATCAAAGACTTTCTCCCTGTTTTAGCTGGGTTGCAAGAGCAAAATGCCACAGGCTGAGTGGCTTAAACAGCAGAACATCTTCCTCACGGTTTTGGAGGCTGGAGGTCCAAGTTCACGGTGCCAGGAGGGTTGATGTTCTCCCTCTGGGTTGCAGGTGGCCACCTTCTCACTGTGTCCTCACATGGCCTTCACGCTGTACAGCTGTGGACAAAGAGAGAGAGAGGTCTGGTTTCTCTTAATGATCTCTCAAATACAGTCACATTGTGGTTTAGGGATTCAGCCTATGACTTTTGGGGGGGAATATTCAGTCCATAGCACTCATCTACTTCCAGAAGAATAAGATTGTGCTGGGCACATCACTGCCCTGTTAGATGCCATCGCTCAGCCCTCCCTGCAGGTAGATGGGGCCAGGTGGCTAAGTTACTGCCAATGAGACGTGAGCAGCAGTGGTGTGTGCCCCTTCAGACGGTGGGCGGAGCATTCTCCCTCTCCCCCAACCCCCCGACCTTGCAATCCACCCTTGACCATGAAGACAATGGCGAGGCCCTTTGGGGGCAGACGCCACGCTGGAAGGAATCTGGGTCCCTGAGTAACCCCGCGGAGCATGGCTGCCTGGCCCCTGGACTGTTAGATAAGAAATAAAATTCCTTCTGTGCTAGTGGATTTTGGTTGGGTTTCTTTGTTAGAGTAGCTTAGCCTTCCCCCAAAGCACTGGCTCTTGACTGGGGGACATTTTGACAGTCACAGCTTGGGGTGGGGTCTAAGAGCAGCTAGGGGGGAGGCCAGGGTTGTTGCTGGCCATCCTACAAGCACAGGAGAGGCGCCCCCCTCCCCCCAGCAAAGACTTATTGGTCCCAAACTGTCAGTAGTCCCAAGGTTGAAATTTGTTATCAAAGATTTATCTAAAGTATTGCAACATACTGAAAGAAAAAGCATGGATGAAAAATACTCTCTGCCATATCAGTAAACAAAGGATGTTGCAGCTATCAAGCTGGCAGCTACTGCAGACACCCCTGATGGTGCACCCTGAGGGGATTCAGGAGGGAGAGAAGCGGGATCCTGGCCCTAGATAGTTAAGGTGCACATCAGAGGAATGATTTCAGTGAGCCCAGACTGTTGAATTTTCCCATACATAGAAAAGTGTTAACTCCATTAACTTGAGGTGTCTGTTTTCTTTAATTAACAGTACTCTTTTGATGTTTCCACTGCGCCGTTTTTGTTGCAAAAACTCTCATAGATCCTGGCTCCTCTCTTACCTCCTCAGAGCAGTTGTTCAGAAAGTCTGACAAATAAAGCTGAATTCTCAACTTTTAGGTTGTGCATTTTTTTTCAGTCGACAATAGTTAGGGAATCATCTCTCATTTTTGCAGTTTCTAAAACGGTCTTTGTAAGAGAATTCATCAATATCTGGGAGGAGTTATTTTCATTATATGATACAGGAAGACCACTACCCTTCAAAATAAAGAATTTTTTTTTTAGATGAAAGGCATGAAGACCAATTTCCCCATAGATATCAGTAAAGGACATAAAATGACAGAAGAACTACAAACAGCCAACAAATGTGTGAAAATCTGTTTAGCCTCACTTGAAATCAAAGAAACACAAAACACTGAGGTTTTTTTCCCCCTATCATGTTAAGCAAAGATAATAAAGCCTGGTGAAATCTAGGGTTAACAAAAGTAGAAACATATGCAATGGAGTGTCAGTATAACCTTCCCCTCGGGCAATGCATTTGGAAATAGCAGCACTTAGAACACGCCCTTTGAGCCAGCAATACAATTTCTAAGAATCTATCTTGAAGAACTAATAAGACGGGACTTTCCTGGTGGTGCAGTGGTTAAGACTCCACGCTCCCAATGCAGGGGTCCCGGGTTCAATCCCTGGTCAGGAAACTAGATCCTGCACGCTGCAACAAAGAACCTGCATGCCTCAACTAAGAACCAGCGCAGCCAAATAAATAAATATTAAAAAAAAAAAGAACTAATAAGACAATGTGGTAGATTAAGATGGCCATAACTGCGCTACTCCTCCGATTGAGAGGTGGGGGTCTACTTTCCCCTCCCCTTGAGTCTGGGTTGGCCCCAGACTCAACCAATGGAATGTGGTGAGGTGATGTCCTGGGATGACCAAGGTCAGGTCACAAGAGTCTGGCAGCTTCCACCAGGGCCTCCTGGAAATCTCCAGAAGCCCTGAGCAGCCACATAAGAAGCACAACTGGGCTGGAGAGGCAATGTGTAGGTGCTCTGGTCCCTGGTACCAGTTGAATGCAGCCTTCCAGCCACACCAGTGATCTCTACTGTATCACACAGAAGAATCATCTAACTGAGCCTTGCTAGAATGCCTGACCTACAAAAATTGTGAGCTCTAATAAAATGCTTCTTTTAAACCACAGAGTTTTCAGGTATTTTATTATGCAGCAGTAGATAACTGGAACATATACATACAGGTGTATGAACAAATGTTCACCAGAGCACTATTTATGGTAATGAAAGATTGGGAACAATCAAAATATTGTTCATCTATTAGGAGTCTGTTAAAGTATGGTACACTAACACTGTGAAATATATCGAATAAACAGAATGACATAAAATTGAGTAAAACATGGCCAGAATTTGTGAAGAGTATTGTTAAAAATGTAAATGGTAGAAAAGTGGGTAGTGTGACACCAATTAAGAAAACCAACAGCTCAATTTAAAAACTGGGCAAAAGATCTGAACAGACACCTCACCAAAGAGATGTACAGGTAGCAAATATGCATGTGAAAAGGTGCCCAACATCACTTGTCATTAGGGAACTGGAAATAAAATGAGATACCTCTACACGTCTATTAGCATGGCCAAAATCCAAAACACTGACAACACGAAATGCTGGCAAGGATGTGGAGCAAGGATGTGAAGCAACAGGAACTCTTATTCATTGCTGGTGAGTGAATTCATTGCTGGAAATGAAAAATAGTACAGCTCATTCTGGAAGACAGTTTGGTGGGTTCTTTTTTTAAAATA